CCTTGTCTTGTTTCTGGTTTCAAGGGAAATGCTTTTAGTTTTTGCCCATTGAGTATGATTCTGGCTGTAGGTTTTTCATATATGGCCTTTATTATGTTGAGATATGATCCCTCTATTCCCACTTTGTTCAGAGTTTTTATCAGAAATGGGTGCTAGATTTTTGTCAAATGCTTTTTCAGCATCTATTGATATGATCATATGGTTTTTTCTTTTATCCTCACTCAAGGACATTTTTCCATTTTTTGTTCAGGTAGAATGGGAGGGAGAGAGAGGAACAGAGAGAGAGAGAGAAACATAGACATGAAAGGGACACATTGAGTGGCTGCCACCTGCACGACCAACCAGGGCCAGGGACAAACTGCAACCAAGGTACGTGCCCTTAGCGGGAACCGAACCCGGGACTCTCTGGACCACAGGCCGATGCTCTAACCACTGAGCCAAACTGGCCAGGGAGATCATATGGTTTTTATCTTTCACTTTGTTTATGTGGTGTATCACATATATTGATTTGCAAATATTGTACCAGCCTTGCATCCCTGGCATGAATCTTACTTGGTCATGGTGAATAATTTTTTTAATGTATTACTGGATCTGATTTGCTAATATTTTGTTGAGGATTTTGGCATCTATATTCATCAGGGATATTGACCTGTAGTTTTTTTCTTTGTAGTGTCTTTATCTGGTTTTGGAATTAAGATTATGCTGACTTCATAAAAAGGGCTTGGGATTCTTCCTTCTTCTTGAATTTTTTGGAATAATTTGAGAAAAATGGATGTTAGTTCTTTGAATGTTCAGTAAAACTTCCATGATGCTGTCCAGACCCAGGCTTTTGTTTGCTGAGAGTTTATTGATTACAGTTTCAATTTCCTTAATTGTTATTGGTTTGTTCAAGTTCTCTATCTCTTCCCAGTTCAGTTTTTGGAGACTGTGTGATTCTAGAAATTTATCCATTTCACCTAGTTGTCCAGTTTGTTGGCGTATAATTGTTCATAGTATTTTTAACAATGCTTTGTATTTCTGTGTATCAGTTGTGACTTCTCCACTTTTGTTTCTGATTTTGTTTATTTGAGTCATCTCTCTTTGTTTCTTGGTGAGTGTGGCTAAAGGTTCATCAATCTTGTTTTTCTTTTCAAAAAACAAGCTCATTGTTTGATTGATCTTTTGAATTGTTTTTTTTTCTAGTCTCCATGTCATTTAATTCCACTCTGACCTTTACTATTTCTTTCCTTCTACTTGCTCTGGGTTTTTCTTTTTGTTTACTTTCTAGTTCTGTAAGTTGTAGGGTTAGATAGTCTATTGGAAATTTTTCTTGTTTCTTTAGGTAGGCCTGTAGTGCCGTGAACTTGCCTCTCAGGACTGCTTTTGCTACATCCAATAGATTTTTGTGTTGTTCTGTATTCATTATCATTGATTTCCAGGATGTTTTTAATTTCTACCTTGATCTCCTTGGTAACCTATTTATTGTTCTGCCATGCTGTGCTGGGGATCCAGCTTGGAGTTTTAATCCCTCACTTCTCAGAGGGAACTGCTCACAGCTAAGCCAGCCCTCAGCTGCTGCCCATAGGCAGCCCTCTCATGCTTCTGCAGCTCCTACCAGTCTCAGTTTGGGGTCCTCTTATGTTCCTAGTTGTAAGGATTCTGTCCAGCTGATATTCAGTTGATTTCTCCAGATGACTTGTCATTGTTTTAGTTGTAATACCACTTTGGTCCTGGAAGACATTCTGTGTAGCTTCTATTCACTTCACTGCCACATTCTCCTAATCGGAAAATACTATAAAGTTGTGACACATATGATGAAGAAGTGTTAAAGTGTATAAGAGGAGGAGCTGACTGGGGTGGTCAGAATGACAGGGAGCATTAAAAGTAGGGGTGACCGCATGTGCTCAGGTCCCCTGGTGGGAGGGAATGTGACATAATTAAGAAACCAAAAAAAGCAGAGAACTCGAACATGCGTGGTGAGATGAAAGAAGTAGGCAAGGGTTATATCGTCTTAGAGTTTCTGGTTTTTATCTAAAAGCAATGGGAAAGCCTTGAAGGGTTTTAACAAATGAGGGACTGCTTTGAGAAGAATCACGCAAGCTGCAGGGCCAATACAGAGTGAGAGAGGCCAGGAGTGGGTGGTAAGAGCACTTAGGAAGCCATTGCAGGGGCCCAGGCAAGAAATCATCGGTAGCTTGAGCTAAGAGGATGGTGACAGAGAATGTGGGGCAGTGGGAATGGTGGGGGACTCTGAGAAATAAAATTTCCAAATGGTAGGATTAAAGGGGTGATGGAGTGGGAGAGTGAGGAAGACTCCCAGGTTTCAGCTTATATAAATGCAGCACTGATATGCCAATCAATGTCAGTAAGAACACTGGGAAAGGACCACGTTTGGGGGATAGATCATGAATTCTATTTTCAAATTTTAAGCTGGAAATGACTTTGAAATAAAATTTTAAAATTTACATTCAAAACTTGTTTGGGCCCTGGCCAGTTTGGCTCAGCGGTTAGAGCATCAGCCTGTGGTCCATAGAGACCCAGGTTCAGTTCCCGCTAAGGGCATGTACCATGGTTGCAGTTTGTCCCTGGTCCTGGTTGGGTTGTGTGGGTGGCAGCCACTCGATGTGTCCCTGTCATGTAGATGTTTCTCTCTCTCTCTCTTTCTCTCTCTCTCTCTCTCTCTCTCTCTCTCTCTCTCTCTCTTCCTCTCTCTCCCTCCTACTCTATCTGAACAAAAAATGGAAAAATGTCCTCGGATGAGGATTAAAAAAATATATTAAAAAAAAACTTGTTTGGAATACAGGAGGATATCCTTAATTCACAGTCTTAATCAGAGATGCATTAAACTTGATCACATTTTATAAATTAGTAAGTAAACAAACAATTTAAAATTAAGGATGATGTACTTCATCTCTCTGCTCTACTTTAATTATTAATAACACCACTTTGAAGTGTGTTAGTAAATATGTTATATTTTTAGAAACAATGAAGTCCTGGTAATGGGAGGCTACACTGCCACAGTCATGCTAGTAAATCTTGACTGAAGCAAATGTTGGGTGGAGGGATCGGAGAAGAGGGGAGTGTGTGTGTGTGTGTGTGTGTGTGTGTGTGTGTGTGTGTGTGTTCTGGAGAGATTTATTGAGCTAACTTACCCAATGAGGTTCATTGGTATTTATGAATGGTTCATTAGTGTGACTATCTGAACACAAGGTGAATTCACATTAAATGATAAGACCTCCTAATAATTAGTATGTGCCACTCTTTAGAATTTGTAATTAGAGGAAAGAGAAAAAATGAAAGAAATAGATAAAAGGGCCGTTGTTGTAAAATTAAAATCTTTTACAACCAATTCTGTTTCTTTGTGAAGCAAACAAGGTAAAGGGAACCAGAATTGAAAATGTACTTCCTTTCTTAGTTGCTAACTCAGCTTCAGGTTAGATCAGGGTTTCTGGTTTTTATACTAAGAACAGTGGAAAATCACTGAAGGGTTTAAACTAAAGAGTGACGTGATCAGAACTGAGTTCTGAAAAGAATTACCTAGGCACTGTTGACATTTGGGGCTGGAAAGTTCTTTGTTCTGGGAGACTGACCTGTGCATTATAGAATGTCCAGCAGCCTCCCTGGTATCCACTCACTAGATGCCAATAGCAATCCCCCCACCTCGAGATGTGACACCAAAAATATCTCTAGACATTATCAAAATATCCCCCGAGGGGCAAAATGGCCCCATTTGAGAACCACTGAACTAAATCTAGAATATCTGACAATGTCATTTGATAACCATTTCAAAGTCTATTGGGTTTTATTTTACTCTATACATATGTATTGGTGACCTTCTTTGTTGTGGTGTTCAAAGAGGAGGGACAACACTTAGTCTATATGTTTTCTAAAGAACTTATGATGAAGAGGAGGGAGGAATGGAGGGCAGACAAATTTAGAAACTAAGGAAGGATGGGCAAAGATGGTATTCCAGAGGAGGATGGAGAAGGAATCTCTCTAAAGGGTAGGCTTCCACACTACCCTAGAATTATCTTGCAGCTGGGATTTTCTCAATGGCAAGATTTTGAGATTTGACCTATTAATGACCAGGGTTGTTTACGTTCATTGATGAGAGAATATTCCTATGGAGTGTCCTTTCCCTGGGTTCTCTAGAACTTAGCCTGATCAGTTATAGTCTCTCTCTCTCTCTCTCTCTCTCTTCCCACTCTCCCATTTGGCCCTACTAACATGCTTAAAATTTTACTGAGCTTTAGGAGTGGGGGGCTTTTCTTCAACTTTGCCCATCTTGCCTGGCAATTACTGTTCCATTTCTCTTCCTCTTCCCATAAGTGACTTCTGCTATGCCAGATATGATTCTCTCATGAGTAACAATCAACTCTCACGGCCAAATCCCACAGCTTTCCCTCTGTTTTGCATTTGGCAATGTTGACCACCCTCCCCTGGTGTCTTCTTCCTAGGTTTTCTGGGCCCTGCCCTAGTTTCTCTTCCCACTGGGCTCATGGTTTCCATTCTGGCTTTTCCTCATGCACTTGCTGACCACATGGCTGATCCCAAGTTCTTAGTGAATTTAAATACTGATACAGTTTTGACTCCCTAGTATTTCTCTCCCACTTCAAGTGAGGAAGTGTATTGGCAATTGAAACTGAACCAAGTTATTATTAATCAGATCAAATCTGCCACTATGAGCTTTGTAAGTAGGCTGATTTCTTTTTAGAAGGAATACTATTTTTCATTGAGTGGAAGACATTGTTCTGATATCCTGTATGGCAAAACATCCTTGCTTTTGTTCCTGCCCAATGCAAATGCAAGCTGGGCGTATACTCCCCCTGAAAGCTGGTCCTTTGTTTTATTTCACACCTTGGAGCAGCTCGATGGGGGGGGGGGGGGGGGGTCATTTCTGAGCAAAAAAAAAAAAACAATTGTCAAGAATTTTCAAGGTTGATCCTCAGTGTCTTTAAGAAATTTTTAATTCATTATAAAAATACAAAAATGAATGGGATTTTTTGACATTGTTTTTACAGTGTTTTTTGGTGAAAATCCCCAAAGACCCAAGTGGCTGGAGGAACTGGACGTCTGCTCGAGATTTCTGTGTTGAAGAAGGGGGGACACTGGTCAGCATTGAAAACGAGATAGAGCAAGGTAGTCAATGTTCATCAGGCAAAAATAACCATTTTTATTCAAGTATTTATTAAACTATTCCCCTAAAATACTAACATTTCTAAATCAATATTTTCATGAATTTTCAGTTTTACCTACAAGGTTTATGTCATGACATCTGTAAAAGTTAGTACACAGGGTGGCTTACAAACTGTTGATTTTTGCAGCCTTTTGTCTTACCAGTAGTAGTGGAAAGAATAGAGATGTATTTGTGATCTGTATTTCAAAATGGCTAAAATAATCTGAGGTAACATCTATTACAATTGCTTGGCATAATTTTTAGATACCTTTAGATTTACTTATATACTTGTGTTAGATATTAAGCAATTGTATACCTTAGTTTAAATATAGCAAATAGATCCTCTTTTGTTAAGAAAGGCAATGAATCAACACTAAAAATGGTTTTGTTAATGATATGATGAAATCCCAGGCTTAACCAGGTTATTTCTGTCAATTTAAACTGAAACAAAAGTGAAAGAGACTGTATTACTTTAATAAGGACAAAGTAACAAATTCTGACAATTGATTGGTAATTAAGTTTTGCTGTCATTTAAATAATAGTGTAACTATAAACAGAATTGGTTGATGGCCCAAATGGTTTATATAGTATTGAATTTTATAATGTATTATTTTTCAGCTTTTATTACTATGAATCTTTTTGGCCAGACCACTGATGTGTGGATAGGGTTACAAAATGCTGATTATGAAAAATGGCTAAATGGAAAGCCTGTGGTATATTCTAACTGGTCTCCATTTGATATAATAAACGTAAGTTTTAAGATTTATTTTTTTTTAGAAATTGGCAAGAGATTCTATTCAAGACTTGTTTACTAAAATTTTTTAAGCTTCCTATATTTTATAGATATAAATTTTTACTAGTCGGTTATTAATATATTAATTTTTAATAATGTAATTTTATATAATTGTCATATGTTCCATAAACGTAATTATGCATCACAAGAATTATTTATGTTTTAGGTTGTGAAGTGATTTGTGAACAGGTTTATTAAAGGCAAAAAAAGAATAATGGTGTTTGAATTTTTTAAATTATGTCCTTAATAAAAATGTCAATATTATAATAATGTTATATGCTTACCTTTTAAAAAATAATGTATTGTTTTAAAGATTCCAAGTCATAACACCACTGAAGTTCAAAAACACATTCCTCTCTGTGCTTTGCTGTCAAGTAATCCTAATTTTTATTTCACTGGAAAATGGTTTTTTGAAGACTGTGGAAAAGAAGGTTATGGGTTTGTTTGTGAGAAAATACAAGGTAAGAAATATTTGCTTTTTTATTACTTTCATTTCCATGGCCCACTCTTCTCTTCCATTTTGTTTTACATGCTGTATAACTGCCAATTTCATAGCGAACAGGGCACTGACTATTTGAGCTTTCCATACATATGGTCATTTAATTTCCGCAACCCCAGGAGTATGCCCTCCAGTGGGGTTTTAAGGACTGCAGAGACCACATGAGTGATGGCCAAGTTTATGTATCCATTTAGTCATATTAAAAGGTTTTATTGCTTTGTTCTGGGGTTATGTGTCTGTTCAGGCAATAAAAAAAAGACATTGCGAAATGCTGGAAAAGAGTCAAGAAAATAAACCAACTCAGTACTTACTCCTTTCTTAGGACGCTAAAAATGGTCTCTGGCTACACGTGGCGTGCGGCTGCTTTCCAGGTCTGATGGTGAGAACACCGATGACTTCCAGCGTGACGTCCCAAGGCCATGCTACTACAAGTAGCCAAGGGGTGGATGAATAGTGTGAATGCCCATAAAGGACCTTGAGTAATAAAAATAAAAATAACAATAGCTCATATATCATGCTTTTGCTGAATGCCAGGCTTCCCTGTGCCATGGTACTCTTAGGAGGCCATGGTTTGTGTCTGGAGCTGTGTGGAACCTTGGGCCACCTAGTATAGACACTTACTTGTGATATGAATTATAGCTCCTACTGTTGAACCCTTTGATTATGCTCAGTAGCAACCCATCCTCAGAAAAGTAGTTCTGGGAAGGCCTGTTACCTAGTTCACAGATATCATAATAGTGGGTGGGAACTGAAAGAAAATACCAGATCAGTTATAGCAGGAGTAGTATGAGAAAATCAGAGTTCCTTAGGGAAAAAAAATAATATCAATATGCCATGTCTTTGCATACTTATGATGTACCTGGCACTGTGCCTGGCCTTACACCATAAAATCCTCGTGTAAAATCTCCCCATTTTACAAATGAGGAACTTGAGGATTAGAACAAATAAGTAATGCATTCAAGTTAAACACAATAATTTTATTGTACAATCTGGATGTTGCTCTCTTATTTGAAATATACTCCTGACTACTTTCTCTCGTTTATATTTTGGGGACTAACAAGGTCCGTGTTCTTTTGGAGCTAGTACAGAGTAGTGGTGGTTGGGGCACGGGCGCTGGAGTCCTTGCCACTCCCGAGCTCCTAGCCCACCTCTGTAAATAAACTGTCAAGTTTCCTATCTTTCTAACGTTGATTTCTGTATCTATAAAATGGAATAATAACTATCTCACAGACTCTCTGTATATACAGTCCTTAGCAAGTTCCCAGCATATGCTTAACAAATGATAATTTGTATTTTTCAACTACACAAATTCTTTTTTTTTTTATCCTCACCCAAGGACACTTTTGCATCTATCTTAAGATAGAGCAGGAGGAAGAGAGGAGGGAAGAGAGAGAGAGAGACATCAATGTGAGAGAGACACATTGACTGGCCACCACCCACATGACCCCAGCCGGGGCCAGGGACAAACCGCAACGGAGGTACATGCCCCTATTGGGACCCAGGCTGGGACTCTCCGGTCTGCAGGCCGGTGCTCTAACCTCTGAGCTAAACCAGCCAGGCCAACTACACAAATTCTTATAGTCCACAATGATCACTCAAATTTTGCTCTTTCTCTTTATGTGCCATATTAATGCATTTATATTGGGCTTATAGCCAGAAGTCTCTAATCTGTGTGAAAGAATAAAATGTCTGAATAAAAAGAGAGACAAGGGCAAAGTCAACACCCCCAATTTGGATATTGGTTTCCAATGGCTCTTTCTTTTCCACAGAAACAAGTGGGAAAATCATGTTGCTCAAAGTCACCTATGTTTTGAAACTTGATGAAATCAACTTAATAAGGAGTCATTCATAATGTGAAAATACAGATTTATAACTTAGTGGGGGCAAACAGTTAAATTGGTATTTGGGTCACATATACAAAAAATGTTAATTACTTTAATTTGTCTAACTGTAAACATTTTTAAATGGCTATTTGGTATTATATCGGTTTTGTATAAACAACCTTACACTTTGTACATAGGCTGGCAAACAGACTTCTAACAAAAAATAAACAGATGATGAACGTGTGGCCATCACGCTCGGCCAATGTGGCTCAGTGGTTGAGCGTTGATCCATGCACCAAGAGGTCAGGGAACGTTCCGGTCAGGGAACGTGCCCAGGTTGTAAGCCTGATCTCCAGTGGGGGGCATGCAGAAGGCAGCCAATTGATGTTCTCTCTCATCAATGTTTCTATCTCTCTCTCCCTCTATCTCTAAAATCAATAAAGAAAAAAATTTTTATAATTAAAAAATAAAAAGTGCGGCCATCACAATTGGCTTGGTAAACAGATTAATTTCACTTTGCTTTTACAACATGTATTGAGGCAACACTTGCAGGTAAAAGTTGAGTTCCCACTTTGTCATTTTTATTTGGGAGAGTGTGGCAAGAGGCGGCGATGGGGGCAAGAAGCAACATTTACTGAGTACCTACTATGCCCAGTGCCCTTTGTAGAGATCACATTGAATTCTACCCACATTGCTCTAAGGAAGGCCTTACTAATCCTGTAGACCATACATGGGAGGTTTGGAGATATTAACTAATTTCCCAAGCTTTCTTAGCCATTTAGGGTCAGGACTATAGTTGAGTCACAGTTTTTCTGACCTCTTCACACCTCACCATGCTCCTTTTCAAGCCCAAATGTAATAAACCAGTATACAGAAAGAAATTCTAGGTGCTTTGGATCAGACACTTAAGAAACCCTTACCTTCTTTTTGTATTATAAGTTCTCAAAATGTATGCAAATACATAATACAATACAGAACAAAAAGGCAAGCGCACATATTAAAAGGGAAACATCTGGATGTAAAACACAGGGTTGGTCTCTCTGTGATCACAGCTGCTCATGCACCAGAAAGCGCCAAGAATCACAGGTGGGATTCATGAACCTTGACTCTGACAGGTGACCTTAACTGTAACTGTTTATAAGAACTGTATGTATTTCTAAGTGTTCACTAATTTTTAAACTTCTTCATAGACTGTAAACATGTAAACATTAAACACGATAACTACCATACAGTCTCAAAAGTTTAATAAAGTATTATATTTGAGAATGCACACTTGTAAATATGTTTGCAGTGCAGTATCTGACTACATGACAAATGTCAATATTCTCTTACCAATGTTAAGTTCTGCCAGAGCAGCGTGGGTTAGGCCGAGGAAGCCAACAGAATGAAACCTACCTGAGGGGACCGCATGCATTCCACGAGAGTGGTCCATTTGACAAAGGATGGTCAAGATGAGAAACCTTCTGGAAATGTTTAATCTGTGGGGTTTTTTTGGTTTTTGTTTTTTTAAGAAACTCATCCGTTAAGTGTCCTAAGTGTTTTTATTCTTTAGCACCCTACACTTTCAGGTAGCACCCTCCATTCGAAGTAGTCAGTCCTGGGAAGAAAAGGGCGGATGTTAACAACAGCGTGGATGGCTGGGACAGGTTCCCATACTAAGCTTTGCCTCCCCCGTTCTCATCCAGATGCTACAAATGACTTTTGTTGTGTTCTTGTTCTAGATACTTCTGGACATGGTGTAAATATATCTGATATGTATCCACTCCCCAATACCTTACACTATGGAAACAGAACTTACAAAATCATTAGTGCAAACGTGACTTGGTATACAGCACTAAAAAGCTGCCTGATGCATGGAGCAGAGCTGGTCAGCATTGCAGATCAGTATCATCAGTCCTTCCTCACTGTTATCCTCAACCGGCTAGGACATGCCCACTGGATTGGGCTGTTCTCTGCAGATGTAGGTGTCTTAAGATCCCCTGGGCAATCCTCACCTCATTAAGTTTCACATCTACTTCTCAGTAATAGAACCACTGAAATTAGCGCAGAAAAAATTTCCCCAGAAATTATAGTAAAAGTAGCATTTATATTTTTGTCATGCTTTCTTTTTATATATTTTTTATTTAATTAATCTATTTTTGTTACAGATGTTTCTCCTTTTCCTCCAGATACCCTCCTCCTGTTCCCGCCCTCGCTCCCCAGCATTGCTCTCTGTGTCCATTGGTTATGCTTATATGCATAAGTTCTTTGGTTTATCTCTTCCCTCCCCTCCACCTCCTCCTCTGAAAGTTATCAGTCTGAACCCTACTTCTATGTCTCTGGGTCTATTTTGTTCATCATATTCCACAAATAAGTGAGATCATGTGATATTTGTCTTTCTCTGAGTGGCTTATTTTGCTTAGCATAATACTCTCCAGGTCCCTCCATGTCATCTCAAAGGATAAGAGATCTTTCTTTATTACAGCTGCATAGTATTCCACTGTGTATAGGTACCGCAGCTTTTTTATCCATTTATCTATTGATGGACACGTGGACTGTTTCCAGATCTTAGCAATTATAAGTAGCGCTGCTATGAACATAGGGGTACATATATTCTTTCTGATTGGTGTTTTAGGCTTCTTAGGGTATATTCCTAGAAGTGGGATCACTGGATCAAATGGCAGATCAATTTTTAATTTTTTGAGGAAACACCATATTGTTTTCCATAGTGGCTGCACCAGTCTGCATTCCCACCAGCAGTGTATTAGAGTCCCCTTTTCTCCACACCCTCGCCAGCACTTGTCGTTTGATGATTTGTTGATGGCAGCCATTCTGACAGGTGTGAGGTGATACCTCATTGTTGTTTTAATTTGCATCTCTCTGATGAGTAGTGATATTGAGCATTTGTTCATATGTCTCTTAGCCATTTGTATGTCCTGTTTGGAGAGTTTTCTATTCAGGTCCTCTGCCCATTTTTTAATTGGGTTTTTTGTCTTCCTTTTGTTGAGTTGTATGAGTACTCCATATATTTTGAAAATTAACCTCTTATCTGATGTATCATTAGCAAATATGTTCTCCCAGAGAGTGGGTTCCCCATTTTGATGCTTGTTTCTTTTGCTGTGCAGAAGCTTTTGAGTTTGACGTAGTCCCACGTATTAATTTTTTCCTTTGTTTCTGTTGCCTTAGGTGATGTATCAGTGAATATTCTGCTGCGTGTGATGTCTGAAATTTTGTTGCCTACATTTTCTTCTAGGATTTGTATGGATTCACGAGTCACATTTAAGTCTTTTATTCATTTTGAATTTATTCTTGTGTATGGTGTAAATTGGTGGTCTAGTTTATTTATTTATTTATTTATTTATTTATTTATTTATTTATTTTTTGCATGTAGCTGTCCAATTTTCCCAACACCATTTATTAAAGAGGCTGTCTTTATTCTACTGTATGCTCTTGCCACCTTTGTCAAATATTAATTGAGCATAATGTCTTGGGTCAATCTCTGAGTTCTCTGTTCTGTTCCATTGATCTATATGCCTGTTCTTGTGCCAGTACCAGGCTGTTTTGATGACAGTGGCTTTGTAGTATAACCTGATATCTGGTATTGTGATCCCACCTACTTTGTCTTTCTTTTTCAAAATTGCTGTGGCTATTTGTGGTCTTTTTTGGTTCCATATAAACCTTTGGAGTATTTGCTGTACTTCTGCGAAATATGTCTTTGGTATTTTGATGGTGATTGCATTGAATCTATAGATTGCTTTGGGTAGTATGGACATTTTAATGATGTTATTCTTCCAATCTATCAACAAGGTATATGCTTCCACTTTTTTATATCTTCCTCTATTTCTTTTTTCAATGACCTATAGTTTTCTGCAAACAGGTCCTTTATTTCTTTGGTTAAGTTTATTCCCAGGTATCTTAATTTTTTTTGTTGCAATGGTAAATGGGGTTGTTTTATTTAGTTTCTCCCTGTGTTCATTTTTAGTATATAAAAATGCCAATAATTTCTGCACGTTGGTTTTGTATCCTGCTACTTTGCCAAATTTATTTATTAAATGTAGCAGTTTGGGATGGAGTCTTTAGGGTTTTCTATGTACAATATCTTGTCATCTGTGAATAATGACAGTTTCACTTCCTCCTTTCCAATTTGGATCCCTTTTAATTTTTTCTTCTTGTCTAATTGCTGTGGCTAAGACTTCCAGTACTATGTTAAATAAGAGTGTGAAATGGACATCCCTGTCTTGCTCCTGGTTTCAAGGGAAATGCTTTTAGTTTTTGCCCAGTGAGTATGATATTGGCTGTAGATTTGTCATAAATGGCCATTATTATGTTGAGATATGGGCCTTCTATTTCCACTTTGCTGAGAGTTTTTATCAAAAATGGATGCTGGATTTTGTCGAATGCTTTTTCTGCATCTGTTGATATGATCATATGATATTTATCTTTTATTTTTTTTATGTGGTGTATCACACTTATCGATTTACAAATATTGTACCAGTCTTGCATTCCTAGAATAAATCCCACTTGATTGTGGTGTATAATTTTTTAATATATTGCTGGATTCGATTTGCTAAGATTTTGTTAAGAAGTAAATGTAGCATTTAAATAATCGGTTTATACAATAACTACTGACCAACCTTATGAGCAGCATATGACCACAAAGTGGGTGTACACCTTTTTAGAGTAAAGACCCACCTGCTTAATTTCTGAAAATAAATGTCCTTCAAAGGTTTTATGAAAATTTCTGAGAAATTTCAGAATGCTTCCTCATGTATGTACTGGAACACATGCTAAACTCAAGCACCCGCATTTCAGTAATTTGTGGCTTTTAAAAAATCCCCAAGAAAAATGAATCATGCTTCCTGCCTAGAAATTTGCTTATTAATTATGTCAGTACCCCTTGACATTTACATGTTGGGATGTTGTTTGGAGAGTGAGATTTTTTTTTTCTGTAGTTTTCTTTCTCTCTTTAATAAAAATATTTTATACTCAAGTTAGTGAAAAGTAAATCTATTCTACACTGACCTCTAGTGCTGCTCCCCAATGTTAATCACTGTTAATGGTTTTTTGTGTGTCATTTAGAAATGTTATATATAGACACAGATATATAAATGTAATGGATGAATATGTGTATGGTTTTTTTAAATACAAATGAGAACTTACTAGATATGCTGTCTTTAAACTTGTTTTTTTTATTTAATATACCTTGTGTGGCTTTCAATGTCACACCTAAAAATCTAACATGCAAGGATATACCACGATTTGTTAAACAATTATCTTCTGAATGGACATTTGAGTTCTTCCCAGTTTTCACATTTATAAACAATGCACTAGTACCTTTGTGCAAGTAGGAAGAGTTCCCGGAAGTGAAGTTGCTAAGTACATTTTACATTTTAACAAGTAGTTCCATATTATCCTCCAAAAGTTTGCACCAGTCCACATGCCAACAACAGTGTGTGATAACATCTAGTTTTCCCACATCCTTGCCAGCACTGGGTATGTCAAAATTTTAATCCTTGCTGGTCTGATAGGAGCAAGGATAGTATTTTGTGGTTGTTTATTGTGTTTATTGTACTACAGAATGTTTTAACTTATGTAGTCGATTTTTGCTTTATGGTCTCTGAAGTTTTGTCAAACGTGGAAAGATCTTCCCCACACTAAGAGTATAAAATATTTAGCCAAGTTTTCTATAGCACTTTGATATGTTCAATTTTATGTTTGAATCTTTGATCAATCTGAAATTTATTTTGGTGTAAAGAATAAGGTATGGATCCAACTTCACTCTGATTGCTTGCTTGGTGGCAAGGAGCCAAGGACTCCCCCAACCAAAACAAGAAATCTCTTGTGGCAGATGTTTCGTCAGGCCGGATTCACAAGCTGTCCTAGAACCCTGAAACAGAAATCTAAGATGTGGGAATACAGCTCTGCGTGTGGCGTGAGGGATGCTCAGACAGCACTGGGGATGCCACCAGCAGTCTTGGCGAGGAAATGATGGCTCTGTTTCCCTCCACAGAATGGTCTCAATTTTGATTGGTCAGATGACACCAAATCCTCCTTCACTTTCTGGAAAGATGATGAACCATCTTTGCTGGGTGACTGTGTTTTTGCTGACACCAACGGGCGCTGGAGTAGCACAGCCTGCGAGACATATCTGCAAGGAGCCATTTGTCATGTAGCTACCGGTAGGTTCTATTCAACTCAAAAAATATATCCTGTGCACCTACTGTATGCAAGGCACTGTGCTAAGCAGGAGCTATTAGGAAGAGTAGTAAGGAGTATCCGCCCTCAAGAAGCCTCTGGTCTGGTAGGTGACGTACAGACAAATAACTATTATACAAGGCAGGGCTATCAAATAATATGAAAGGTAGCAAGCGTTGTGGGTGTTAGCAAGGAAAAGAACATATCATATTCACTTGGAAAATATAGAGAGACTTCTTGAAGGACTTCACTGTGGAGATTGTCCTTGAAGAATGAGTGGGATGTGAACGGGGCAATAATGGGATACAGACAGGCATTCTGAGCGGAAGTTGGGCAAAGATATGGAAGGAAGAAAGGCTGGGCCCGTGTAATGCAAAGCTGGTGATGAGATTTTCCTGCGTTGCAGGTATGGTTAAGGGAGAGGTAGGAAATTCGGCTAGAAATGTGGGTTAGGAACATGGACAACCTTGAATGTCAGACTGAGGATCTACATTTAAGTCAAGGACAGATAGGATACTAGAATCATAATAACAATACTGGTAATAATATTTATACCTATAATATTTAACATTTAAATGTTAAAATGATGATAACATCTCATTACACTTAAAATTCACCTAGTTAGGCCAGGTGAACTTTATTTTGAAGATTGAAATAAATTCAGAGCATTAAATAGCTTCTTGAAGATCTCATAGGTGTCCATCCACAGCCCCAGGAGCAGAAGCCAATTCTCCCTGCTTTCTGATGTTTGCCCCATTCCTTCATCACCGCGGTGTACATCGAGTGCCTTAACACTAGTTGGTCTCTTTTTGAATCTCATTTAGTAAAAGTGCATTTGTTCTTTACATTCTGGATACTCTAAGTCAAATTGCCTGCACATTATGTAACTGCAGATCAAAATAATTCAGGATAAAAATGTAAATAATAGCCATATATATTGGAAAAGCCAATTCTGCGTCTAAAACACCATCCAAGTTCGCCTTCTCCTTCAATAACACTGAGTTTATTGAGTGCTTAGGGAGCATCAGGCACTAGCTCACTTCAACTTTTCTGGTTGTAAGAAAGATGCTATTGTTAGCTCTCTTGTGTAGATAAAGAAACCAAAGTATAAGGTTAGGTATCATGCCCACAGCCACACAACTAGGGTTTCAGCCCAGATGTGTCTGATTCTCATGCTTGCCATCTGAAACAAAGTCCACCCCAAATCTCCCTGTGTTGTGTTACGTTGTGTTATGTTGTGTTATGTTATGTTATGTTAACATTATGTTATATGATATGATATTGAATACATTATTTTCTTTAATATGTTGATTAGCAGGTGAGGATTTGCTAAATCTGTAAAATTCAGCACTGCATGTAACACATTTTGTACATTTGGAATCACCCTTTGCCAGCTTCATCCAGCAGCCAGTATTTCTATGAATCTTATCCTTCAATATGATACTAATTGTAAACACAAGAGTCAGCCACCTCACCCAGGCAGCAACCAAACTAAGCTTACGAAGCTATGCATTAATATATCCTGTTATGTGTAGGTAAAGATTATTTCTGCCAGAAATGCTATAAACCAGTCCTAGTTTTGTAATAATTTATATTAAGCTCACTCTTCAGAGTATTGCCATGAAAATCTCATTACGTATATTTATCTTGATCTTTCATAGAATGTAATGCAATGTTCATCTCAACTCAGTCACCACACTGAAATCATAACTGATTTTTGTTTATAGAAACAAGACCATTTGGACACCCAGAGCTGTGCTCTGAAACATCTATTCCCTGGAGAAAATTCAAAAGTAATTGCTACAGTTTTTCTACAGTCTTAGACAGTGTGAGTTTTGAGGCTGCTCATGAATTTTGCAAAGAGAAAGGTAATTCTTTTGGGATGGTAAAATGCTTTCAATGTGGTCCTTCTTTTTTTAAATTTATTTTTATTGTTGAGAGTATCACAGATGTCCCTCATTTCCCTCCTTTGTCCCTCTCCACCCAGCTCCCGCCCCACCCCAGGTCTTCACCACAATGTTTTCTGTGTCCATGGGCAATGTCAGTGTGCTCCTTCTTGATATTTCAGTAAACAATCTAATTTTTTATCTGATTATTGAGTGATTTAAGCAGCAATTTTAAAAAGTGAAAAGATAAACACTATTGAATTTGCATATTTGGGGGATGGCTAATATATGAAACTAAATGCCCAATATAAAATTTTAAACTTAAGATGATGTCTCAGAATACTGTACGTTTCCCAAAAATATGTTCCTTTGAATGCATTTGAATTCTAAATTTCTAAGGTTTCCTAAAAGTAGTATTCTATGCTTTCTGAGATACAAGCTTATATCTCAATAAATGTGGTTTTGCTTTAACATTTTTTTTTCTTTATTGATTTTGGAGAGAGAGGAAGAGAGAAGGAGAGAGAGATAGAAACATCAGAGAGAGAGAACATCAATTGGCCGCCTCCTGCAAGCCCTCCACTGGGGACCGGGCCCACAACCTGGGCATGTGCCCTGACCGGGAATCGAACCAGCGACCTCTTGGTGCATGGGTCAGTGCTCAACCACTGAGCCACACTGGCCAGGCTGCTTTAACATTTTTAATAAAAAATGACATACAATGGAAATTTTCACTTTTCAAAGCTTTACAAATTATGGCATGGGAGACATTTTTCAAATTGTATTTATATGTTCATTTGCTGTTTGTCTCTTTTATAGGATCTAATCTTTTAACAATCAAAGATGAGGCTGAAAATTTATTTCTCCTAGAAGAGCTTTTTGGTTTTGCTTCTTCTGTCCAGATGCTTTGGTTGAATGCTCAGTTTGATGGTGACAGTAAGTGACGTGTGGAGAAAAGAGGAGAGGCCATAAATAAACACACGGTGGTCGGGGTTGGGGAAAATGGTCTCCACAAACCAGAAAACTCTCCTTGGAGACACCTGCTGTAAAAAAATAGCACAAGTCGTAAAGCCATTTATTTGCTAACCCTTTTTTCTATACCCTCCTTTCCTGTGAAATAATCCCAGAATACCCAAAATGAAAACAAGCAAACAAGGGTATCCATGTGAAGATATTTGACTGGAACTCTATGTTCACAGACTTAGTCATAGACATTAAAACCATATCCACTTGAAAATACTCCAGGTTCCTAAATGTTAAAAGGCACAACAGAGTTATGGAAATGTTTCAGGAACGAATTATGCTATTAGAATTATTTGCTACTCATAAAGACCAGAGTTTGTATTCCAATGAGAGCATGGTATTCTATCCTTTGTTTAAATGTTGGTTATTGAAAATGCTTGTGAAGAAAATTACTTAAATTGGTATGGACATCGTGTCACAGTGGTGTGCCGACGCAGAGCGTGGGTCTACCCTGGAGGAGGACTGTTTCAATCACTGATGTTGTTCAGAATTTCTAGCGCATGGTGATAAAAAGCCGACTGACTTTTAGTTAGTTTTATTGTTGGTTTTAAGTCCTTTTCAGACCATGCACCCCTTTATTGCTTACACATGGATGGCCTCTCCCACGGCCCCCACCCTTTGGGACACCACTGGCTTGCTATTTAAAGGAACACACTGTAAAATTCCTTTAGAAAGTGAGCCATTTTGTAATGATATAGATGTTAGGACCTCAAAGGATTTTTTTTTCTGTGTTGATGAGTTTAGTTTATTAAATGATTTCTTTTTTAAAAATTTATTTATTTTTGTTACAGATGTTTCCCTCTCCCCCAGGCCCCATCCGCCCTATCCCCCCAAGCATTGCTGTCTATGCCCATTGGTTGCACATACATGCATATAAGTTCTGTGGTTTATCTCATCCCAACGCCTGCCCCCTCTTCTAAAGTTTGTCAGTCTGAACCGTACTAAATGATTTCTTTAAATTGCCTATAATGATAAGAAATATTTCAAAATTAAAACTTACATTAACAAACATGATATCTTAAGTGAACTAAATTAAAATAGAGTTGTTCACAAGGCAACTTTACTAATACCTACCTTGTGATGTTGAGTTCATAACTGTGCTTATTGAGTTAAAAGCATCAGATAAGGACAGAGTCTCATTAAATTTAGGGGCTGCTCTTTATGGTTCATTCCAGTCTTAGTATGTTTGATAACCATGCACATAACTTATAAGTCGGCAATTTTTCTGCAGATAAAACCATGAAGTGGTTTGATGGGACTCCCACAGACCAGTCCAACTGGGGCATTCGGAAGCCAGAAATGGATCACATCCAACCCCCTCCGTGTGTCGCTCTGAGGATCCCTGAAGGAGTGTGGCAGTTATCTCCGTGTCAAGAAAAAAAAGGATTTATATGTAAAATGGAGGCAGGTGGGTCATTTCAGAGGGTGATCCTTTATTTTGATTCCATTCTGACTAACACTGACCCACTTCTTTAGCATTGAAAGCTTTTAAAATCCAAGTATTCAGGGAGTACTCAGAGTCAGTTAACTTTCTCACCTCGTTCTACCTCAGACAAGTCATAGAACGTTTCAGCTCCTTCTTTTTCTGATTTGAGGGGAAAATCATGAAAAATCAACTCAAAGACTATGACTTTCTTGTGTCACCCTCACTGTAAACCTAATGGGTAAAAAAAAAAAAAACAGTTTACCTCGAGCAAAGAAAGCTAGAAATGTCCAGTGACAACCCTCATTCTGGCAACTGCAACTCTGAAGTTTAAAGTTCATCTTTGGGCCCAAGAAATATAACCTAGGCTTTAGGTGCCCTTATGGGTAAGTACATGTGATTTTAACTTTATGTTGACCTGCATATTTAGTTTGTAGTGATAAAAATAATCTTAGAAATCTAAGCCAGAAAGTTCTAGTTTGTTGCCAACGGTAGTAGAGATTTCAAAGATGGGGCATTAATAAGGATCATTAACAGCGGGAAGGTGTGTATAATAACCACGACAGTTTCTAGGTGCCAGTATTACAAACATGGAGGAGTCATTGTGGCCTGGGCAGCGGGAGAGGACTTCACAGAGATGAGGCCTTAGAATCCCAAAAGAAGAGAATAGAGGAGGGAAGACATATTTGGACAAATGACTAAAGGCAGCTATGGAGAATGAGCTTAGATGGGAGTGAAGGGCCCACGTTAGTAGAGATGGGAATAAAACTTGGCAGGAATGTAAGATCCAAGAAGAGCTGAACTTTGTGGTGAAGGAGACAGGGACCCCCTTGTGCTCTGAGGACACCTGCAGTGGAGCCACATTCATCCAGATGTAAAGAGAGGCCGCTGCAATTTGAGGGATGGAACTAGGGACAAAAAAAGGGTGGTGGTAGGGATGATCAGAGGCCTTGGTGACCGGTGGCATACTGGGCATGTGTGCAAGGGAAAACTGGTAGGCATGGGCACTGATGTTTGAAACCCAAATAGTGTATCAACTTCGTGTGATAAATAACACGTCCAAGTTATCCGTAGCATTTACATATCAAGAACAAATCAGAAACACTTCCTGTCTGTACAGGACTTTAAAACTTCCTACAATTCATAGCATGCCTCTTTCGTCCTTCACAGCAACTTTCCCAGGCAGAGGAGTAGATTGAATATTCCCATTTTTTTTAATCCTCACCTGAGGACATTTTTCATTTTTTGTTCAGGTTGAGTGAGAGGGAGAGAGAGAAACATTGACATGAAAGGGACACATCGAGTGGCTGCCACCCACACAACCAACCAGGGCCGGGGACAAACTGCAACCGCAGTACGTGCCCTTAGCGGGAACCGAACCCGAGTCTCTCTAGACCGCAGGCCAACGCTCCAACCGCTGAGCAAAACCGGCCAGGGCAAGAATATTCCCATTTTACAGATGAAAAAAGTGCTTGTCCAAACCAAAGCTACATCAAGGATTATACTCCAAATTTTCTGACCACACACTCCTACACCTCCTCACTGCCTCCATCCTGAAAATACTCTTTCTTTTAACAGCCTTTCTCAAAGTATTTTCACACACACACACTTATTTCAACTGTATTATGCAATGTTATTTTTAAATTGCAAAAACAAGCCCTGGCCGGTTTGGTTCAGCGGTTACAGCGTCAGCCTGCGGTCCTGAGAGACCCGGGTTCGGTTCCCGCTAAGGGCATGTACAGTGATACCTCGGTTCTCGAACGCCTCGGTTTTCGACCAAATGGAGATTCGAGAAACTTTTGTATCGGAATCCGAACAAATATTTGGAACTCGAACTTCCGAGATGAGCCGAATGGCGTTCATTCGGCCCAGCGCGCCTTGCTTGCGTCATCAGTGTGAGTGCAGAGAGAGAGTCACGCTTTGTGGAGTCACGCTTTCCTATTGGTTTCATTGCTTCGGTTCTCGAACAATTCGGTTCTCGACCGTCCTCCTGGAACGAATTATGTTCGAGAACCGAGGTATCACTGGTTCCAGTTTGTCCCCGTCCCTGGTCGGTTGTGTGGGTGGCAGCCACTCGATGTGTCCCTTTCACATCGATGTTTCTCTCTCTCTCTCTCTCTCTGTTCCTCTCTCTCTCTCCCACTCTACCTGAGCAAAAAATGGAAAAATGTCCTCTGGTGAGGATAAAAAAAATAATAATAATAAAAATAAAATAAATTGCAAAAACAAGGTTTGTTTGTTTTTTCTTGTTTTTTTTTTTTTTATCTTTATTGATTTTAGAGAGAGAAGAAGGGAGAGAGATAGAAACATCAATGAGAAAGAACATCGACTGGCCGCCTCCTGCATGCCCGTCACTGGGTATTTGGCCCACAATCTGGGCATGTGCCCTGACCAAGAATTGAACCAGCGACCTCTTGGTGCAGGGGTTGATGCTCAACCACTGAGCCACACCAGCTGGGCGCAAAAACAAGGTTTTTTGTAAATGTGATTTTGCTATTGGTAATAACATTGATGTTTCTTTTAAGTCTGTAAGAGTGAAAAGGCATAAGTAGTGTACCAAGGCACTTCCTCCACTCACAAATCCTTTACTAATCTTTTTCTGGATCATTCTCGACCTCTTTCTCTAGATTTCAAAAATAGCAGAGTTCAAACTCTGAGACAGAGTCTACTTGAAAGAGATACATTTTCACAGTAGAAAACCCTCAAACAGGAGCCCTTTAACTTTTTGAATGGAGGTGCTATTACTCATTTCTCAAGATCCTGAAATCACAAATACAAGATGTTGAGGGAGCGAGAGAGAGAGAAACATCGACATGAAAGGGACACATCGAGTGGCTGCTACCCACACGACCAGGGCCAGGGATGACCCACAACCGAGGTACATGCCCTTGACCGGAATCGAACCCGAGACTCATTGGTCTGTAGGCCAACGCTCTAATCGCTGAGCCAAACCAGCCAGGGCGAGATGTTGGTTTTTAAAGCCTTGCATAAAGGCACGGAGGTTTTCATCCCTGGACAAACTCTGTAGCAGATCGCAACAAAACTGAGTTCCCTGCAGGCACGGACTATATTTCACTCACGTTTTTATTGCAGCACAGTACTGAGACCAGATGGGAATTCTTTGGTTACAAAAGACCGTGTATGTGTTTGCAAGCACTAATAATAATTACTGCAACCCAGGGGTCAGCAAACTTGTCCTGTCAAGGGCCAGAGAGAACTATTTTAGGCTCTGGGGTCCATGTGCTCCCTGTCATACCGCCGCTGTAGCATGAAAGCAGCCAAACACAGAGCAGAAATGAACAAGCGTGGCTGAGTCCCAATGAGACATTATTTATAAAGCAGAAGCCCACATTTAACCCGTGGACCACAGTCGGCCAAGCCCTGCTATAAGTAATAACGTCATTTTGCTGAAGTAAAAGAAAAACTCCATCTCATTTTTTTTCTTTTTATTTGACTTTAGATATTCACGTGGTGAAAGAACATCTAGGAAAAGGTATGTGTGGAACAGTAGAGAACATTTTGATGTTTCTTAGAAAGGACCAGACAGAAAGTCACTCCGCGACGGTGCCGATGGCCCTTCTCTGGCTGAGACTTTCCCCTTCCTCCTTCCAGGACCAAGTCACGGCGCCGTCCCACTCGCAGTGGTGCTGACACTGACAGCCGCTCTGGCCCTGTCCGCGCTTTCCTGCTGCATACACAAGCACAGGGCGCGTGTCGTCAGGAGGCTTGTCCAGTTTGGGAACCCTTACTACCCTACAGCCAACTTCAGCACGGTACATTTGGAAGAAAATATTCTCATTTCCGATCTTGAGAAGATTGACCAACAGTAATGAAGTCAGAGAACGGCGCAGCCATGAGGACCCGTAAAGAAGACTTCAAGGGAAGCCTCCTCTGTGGTTTCCTTTACAGACCAGATGCCATTATAATGTGAACTGTGTCCCTACTTCAATCCTGAAGTGATCCATGGTTTTGAATTGTAACTAAGTTAGATGGGTGTTGATTTATTCATTTCCCCAACTGTGATCTATTCTTAAAAAGGGGAAATTACGTAATGCTGAAAACAAGAACTATTAAAAGAAACTCCCTATTGAAAACTCTTAAACCAATGTGAATAATCGTTTGTGCATGGCTATGTTTCTACCAAAAATATGGGGGGAGGGATTTTAAATCTAAACTATTTAGACATAATCGACACTCATTCTATTAAATGAGAGGAAATACAAAAAATGTTAAAACCCTACACTTAAATATGACAGGAAAAGGAAAAAGATGCTGAGCAGTTTCTTGCTTGTTTTTAATGCAATCTTTTAAATTCAATCAGTTCTAACAGCTGGGTTTGGAAAACACTGTTTTCTGAGCTTAAAGGTCACCAGTTCTAGGCTGTAAAATAATATTTAGGGTGACTTATGTTTATTAGTTCTGACTTCTCAAACTAAAGGAGAAGAAAAAGCGGTTTTCTTTAAACAGTAACATCTTGGTTAGCAGCATGCTTTCACAAGCACCACACTGAGTGGCCCGGACATTCAATTCCTAAGTAATGACTAAGTGAGATAGTTAAAAATATCTTAGAGATAAGCTTAAAGGAATTTACTGAAATCTTAATACTGCTAAAACTCATGGGTTTTATTAAAAACTAAAGGTATAAAATAATATATAACACTCCTAACAAACAAAAAATATAAAATGTAACTTGAATTTAAGGGGGAAAAATTGAAGATCTGAATGACAGTCCCATTAGAACCAGACTCGAGAATATGTTGAGAAGTACTAAATAAATTACTCTTCAGTAGTGATCTAGACACCTTGCTATATAAATGAGTTTGTTTGGAGTGTTCTGTTTCGTCAACTACGGTTCTGGGGCACCATCTCCATTTGGGCTGGACTAGAAAGTGCAATTGGTATATGATTACAAGCATGATACTGTCCATAAATTTAAAGTCACAGATTTTATCTTCCTTCATTAATTTCTCATAAAGAAAAATGACCTCATCGTCGATATTTAAAGGTTTACTCATTACATAAATGTTTATTGAGTGCCATTCTAGAAACCGAAGGTGCTGAGGTGAGCAAGTCAATGAGATCTTTGTTTTCAGGGCACTTCTAATGAAGGAAAACTGACAGTAAACCAGCAAACGAATGCAGGGGCAGAAAATGTCAGGTGGTTATGAAAGTTAAGTGAGATCCTGTGATAGAGAAAACTGGAGGCAGTGCCGGACCTCCCCGGAGCGTGAATTTTAGTTGTTACAACCAGCTGCCTCAAAACCAGTGGCCGCTAGTCCCAAGGGGGACTCCAGGGAAGGGCTGAACACATTTCTAAGTAGAAAACACCATGTGAAGAGCATGGCCCAGAAGGAAGTCCCCACAGCCGGAAACAGTTAATGCAGCTCTTTGCTACAGCTGTGGGTGTAGTTTACACACGGGAACAGTTGGCTTCCTAATTTGTTTTAAGTTTGGGGACTTTATTTTTTAAAAGATATTTTATTATGTGACAGTTGTATATTTATGACTCAAAAGAATGATTGGCTTGAACTAACCAGATGGTATAAAAGCCCAATTTCACAATCTGTCAAGTGAAATTAAAGTTCTATTCTTTTCAGTGGACTTGGTAAAAAAAAAAAAAAATTGCTCACCAATTATCCTTCCAGCCAAGGTATGTTGAAGTGGAACAGTCATTTTCATAACAATTTGACAAAGCATGTCATTCATAAAGTGATTGTGCAGAAAGAAACCACTGCTTGTCAATGCTCTGTACTTGGGTGTTTAGTATTGAACCACATATCCAGAGACTCTGTCCCCACGAATAGATCATACACTCCTTCACATTATTGAAAGTTCAGAAATAGAAAGTACTGAAATAGTCTGTTTTATTTATATATGTGCACTTTTAAAAACTTTTTTCCATATCTATTTTTATTCTGAACTTGAGTTCATAGCTACAGCATGAAAAGGAAAAAAGTAGAGGCTCACAAACTCATGCATAACTAATGTGTCTCCTTCCAAAAAAAAAAAAAAAATCAATTATTTTCTATGACTCTGGGTAATGGAAAATCTTGGCTTTTCCATTAAATCCAATGGCTCTTCCAGTTCCAACAGTCTTCCTGCAGTTTAAATGTTTCTTCTGTTGAAAAGTCCACTCCCTATTAAGGGTGGATTAGGTGAACTCTTTAGATAAGCATTCAGTCTTCTGTAGTTTCCCTTCCCTCCTCAAAATGCTGGTAGAATATATGAGAACTTGTTATGCCCTTGTGGGGGCGGGGGGTGGAGAAGACGGTAACTGACTGAATGTGTGTCCGCTGGTGTCCACTGAGGGTAGTTGTCTGGCCCCACTCCTGGGAATCCTGCTGTTATCTGCTACGAAGTCTGTAGCTGGTGCGACCTGTAGTCTACTCTCTTTGGCTAGGCCGCCATCCATCCTTCCTCTCCCTGGAACCACCGAATCCCTGGAGAACTGGCTGTGACTCCCATTCAGTTCCCTACCTGGACATTGCAGTTCTTGGCTACAAGGCTACTTCACCCCTGCAAGTAGTGAGACCCTATCCAGCACCATCCTCTACTCTGTTGGTCAGGGGAGGTTACCTGCCGTAGTAAACAATCCCAAAATCTTGGTGATTAAACACAGCAAAAGTTCATTTCTCATCCACACCGACAAGGGCTTGTAGGAGGAGTTGGTTCTAGCCAGTCATCTGTTGGTCCAGGTTCTCCCCTATCATCAAGCCTCCATCTCCTAACGCCTTGGAGTCCTCCAGAGGCTCTCCTTGCTCTGAAGAAGTTCACTTGAGATCCATGTTTGATCAATTATGTCGCTTCTGTGGGCTACTGAAATACTCTCTAAGTTAAGTCTTCAAGCTGAGGATACATACCCTGAAGTTGCATAAAGATTTCCAAGGGACACAGGGACAGGGTATTTTTAAGGAGCTCAGTTTCCAGAATCTTTAAGCTTCATATACAGTCTTTCTCAGGACTGATTTGCGTGAGAACACTCCTGAGATCATGGTGTCATTCTGGTTCTTATTTCCTACCTCTTTGCACAAATGCTTGTCTCTACCTTAAAAAAATGACATGGCTTTCACTCGAGATTTTACCGTGATCCCTTACCTGAGGAAAAGCTCCCATGGCACCAAACAAAGAAAAAAAAATCAAAGTAAGTTGTCAGTGAAGCTACTTTTTTTTCCCCATACGATGGAATTTTATTCAGCCATGAAAAAGGAATGAAGCACTGACACACATTACAACAGGGATGAACCTGGAGAACATAATGCTGAGTGAAGGAAGCAAGACACATAGGTAGCATACTGTAGAATTCCATTTACATGAAATGTCTAGAATAGGCAAATCCAGAGACAGAAAATGGATTAGTGGTTGCCAGGGGCTGGAGGAGGACGGAACAGGGAGTGACTGCTAATGGGTATGGGGTTTCTTTTCTTTTTTTCTTTTTTTTTTGGTGGAGAATGTGAATGAGGTTTCTTACTAAGGTATGAAATTGTTCTGGGACTGGATGGTGGTAGTGGCATACATGAAATGCCACTGAACTGTATACTTTGAAATGCTTAGCTCTGGCTTGTGTGGTTTGGTTGGTTGAGCATCATCCTGTGCACTGAAAGGAAGCAACTGATCAATGTTTCTCTCTCACATTCATGTCTCTCTCTCTCTCTCTCCTTCTCCCTTCCTCTCTCTCTAAAATCAATAAAAAAATATTTTAAAATGTTAAAACTGCCCTGGCTGGTGTGGCTCAATTCATTGGGTGTCATCCCATGCACCAAAGGGTCACCGGTTTGATTCCCAGTCAGGGCACATGCCCAGGTAACAGTCTCAATCTCCAATAGGGGGCATGCAGGACAGTGCCAATCAATGTTCCTCTCTCTCTCCTTCTTCCTTTCTCTCTAAAATCAATAAAAACATATTTTAAATGAAGCTTCTTTTAATAAAGGAATTACAAACACAGTGCACAGCCTCATGTCTTTTTCTGCGTTCATACATCTTCCTGTTAAGGGTGAAGTGATGAGTTAGAAATTTCATGCTGGGATATTCTAAATAATTATGCATTGTATAGTGGAACAGCAAGTCTGATAACCACTTTGTTTTAAGACTTTACTTCATCCAGCCCCCAAAGAGAAAATCTGGTAAAAGCAAGGAGAATGTAGATATTTGTAAGAACCTGATGTCTTAACTTTATTCTGGTCAAAAGCTCATGGCAAAGCTTTTAGATTTATCTATCTTAGATTCCTAAGTGAGGGTGCATATTAGCATACTTGTTGAATTAAAAAATAAAATCAGACTTTTTCTGAACATTGTCTTATTTGGCTCATGGGTTTGACAATGAGGATTGGCCTTACCAATTAAGTTTTATGATGAATATTTTTCATTAATTACATAAACTAAATTTGTAACTCTAGTGTTTTGATTAAAGCACTTAAGATAAAGACATTTTAATAGAAAAATAGTAGTATTGACAGAAGTATAATAAAATGAACAATATTGCATTTTTCCCAACCTTACCTTGTATATCAGGTGAAATACAGTGTCTATAAATAAAAGAGTAGCAGGCATAATTAATAGTCATTTAATTATTTAAATAGTCTTAGTAAAGCCTTTTAATTCTTCTTGTAGGAAATTGACAAAGTACATTATTCTATTGACTGGGTAGCAAATTATTTAGCAAATTGAGTGTTTCCAGTTCTTTACTTTAAGCAAAACTCAAGGAGAACATAATCAAATTGTCAGTTGATAGATGATGAAAATAATATTTAATGTATAATCACTGTAATTTGGAGCACATATAAGAAAATAATTCAAATTATGGAGTTATATAGCTATAACAAACCTCCTTTCATTCCCATCTACTTATTTACATCAATGGAGTTTCTATATTAGTCAGGATAGGTTAGGGTATGCTGTGGAAGCAAACAAACCCTCTAATGTCAGTGGTCCAAAACCCAGAAGTTACTTTCTTGGCCATGCAAAGCCTGCTATGGTTCCATTGGCTCTCCTGGGCAGCTCACTTACAAGGAATAACTCACAGATCTAGGTTGCATGTTATCCAGTGATGCTGTTGGAGGAAAAAGGAGTAGAGAACTCCTAAGTCCCTGGGTCCTGAAGCAATAC